GTCGGGATCGGACGATTGCAATGCTTCCATTCGGAAGCAAAAATTGATTAATTGACTTCAAGAAAATTTTCCAGTCTTTGGATTGATTAATAGTGACTCGATTAGCTACAAAATTGATTAGATTCAATGACATACAGTTCTGAACTAGTAGTACAAAAAATGAAAAACGAAAATAGTGATCCGAATGGAGGGTTTGGCATTGGCATGATTATGGCACCCCGGGCCCACGCAATGAGGAATCTATGGGTCAAGCCCCCAATGATCTATACAATCCACTGATGCCCCGTTATCCGTTAAAGTGCAAACTTGTTAGTCACACCAGAGGTCGGGCTAAATGGAATAAACCTTCTCATTCTCCTTATTTAACGTTGGGTACTCTTCCGTTATACCTCGAAGTTTTGTGGTTGTCGTTTTGCCAGACCTACACGGAGGATACAAAAAAAAAACCCTAGTAAAATTCATAATACATTTTTCAATTTAACTTGAATGTTATATTCTTAACTGGCAACATCCAGCTGAGAGACGACACTAGTAAACTCCATAAAGTCCCACTGCTAACAACAAATTCTGGTGGTGAGGATCACTTTACGATGCCTACCTTATCCCATCTAATGATCACGATGATTATTTCATTAAGTTCCGTAGGTAAGTTGGCGTGGTGGCACCAAAGCAGCCGCCTAACTTGAAAGAAAAATCAAAATAATATTTTAGAAAAATAAAATATGGGAATTCCAGGGGTGTTGGTTGGTTCTGTTGGCGTAACAACTGATAAAGACTGCAATAGTCTTATAGTTGTCGAGTCATTTACGCGACTTGTCGCGCCTATGTTACGTGGAAAGCCTTAAAATAAAGTTATGACCATCGTCTGGTTGACAGAAGGCCCTCCATGTTTATACGGTGGTGGTAGTTGGGCTGCAAATACACCTTGAGAGTATGATATTTTTCAAAGGTTGTGTGTATGACACTAAAGTTAAAGCTCGAGAGTAAGAAGACGGAAAAAGGGGGTTGAGATGAGCAGTAAGAAACGAGGCAAAAACATTCAAAGGTATACATAAGGTGACGTTGGTACAGCGTGTTTTATGACCAGTACGACATACCAAAATTAGAATATTATCCCTCATGTGGTTGTGAACTGTTAATAAGCCTAGATCTTTATAGCTGTCAGGGACTAGGATGGTTAACTCTTCAAATATATAATCTCGTGAGCATTCAGTACAAATTCGTGCGGTAGAAAGGACGATGAGCAAGGAAATCTCATGATGGTTGTGGTAACCATTTAGATTATTCTCAGAACCATCAATGTCCAAATAACTATTTCTCGATAATCTCTCAATGAATCTCCACCGATACGAATTCTCAATTTCACAGTAATGACTGACAAATGACGAAAAGCTCAAGCGGAAAATCAATCCACTTTCGAATTTTCCCCCGGATACATCAACATCGTTTAGCATTTGTCGATTGCCTCTTGATAATATCCCCTACAGGCAGCCATGAATCGTTATAGCATTTCCGGGATTTGATAACTGCCGTTAATGCACTAGTGTAACATTGAAGATGGTCAATTAGGTACGTTTTATCGATCCTAAGTGAATGCTAGTAGTCGCGTTATATTTTCAATTCATTGCCCAATGAACATATCTGTGCGATAAAAGAATTCATAAAATGCGGTTTGTACACGCTATAAACTTTACGGATGAACGATCAAGCACCGTAAATCGATTAGGGCCATCTCGACCAACATTATATTTTCTGACATACCCGAAGTCATTTGCCATTTTTATCCGTGCAATATTTCTCACATACACAACCTAATGAAAAAAAAAAAACCCCAGGATAAGGTGTTTAATGTTACCATCAAACCGTTGACAATAATTACTCTGTAGCAAAGTGTGTGTTCGTATGAAATACCATGAGATTACTCATCAGTGTCTCCAACGGATTCGTAATGAAAATTCAAGAGAATAAAAATCAGCCAGTAGAAAAAGAGATATTATAGAAAAAATGTGAATTTAATGGCGTCCTAGAAAAGTTGTAGATTCCATTAAGGAACTTTACAATCATATCCGCAGTTTCCCACACCGTTGGTGGATGTTTTGAAATGGCTATTCGGCGGGTCCGATCAAAAGTTACCTAGGCACGGTTATACCACTCGTTTTACTAACGGTACATGGACACATCGGCCAGCCAATCACCCTGGGTAGAGAGGGGTATTAAAAGAATGAAACAACAGTGTATAGTAATCCTTGAAGTCTTGTGTAGATTCAATGGGACAGTGTGGCATTGCGGAAAAAACTTACGATTTCATCTGAGCATAAGTTACAGCAATCACTGGTCACTTAAGTAGACCATTTGTGATGTGCGATAATCCGGTGAATCATCACGCAAATTGTACGATATATCGTCGAATTTTTATCATGTTTTCATCACAAAAGGATGGAGTCGGTGATTATCAACCCCTCGGTGATTACGTCATTCCAATTCTCTGGAAGTCTTGAGGTGTTCGGGCTATTAGTGGGTTAAAATACTACGTACAAAGTGAGAAGGATAATTATGGTTGTAATGTCATTATGTATTACCCGGGAATCCACGTAAGAAAGATATTTTCGCTCCTGGTGAAGGTGAGGAGCGAACAAAACGGATTATTCCGAATTGTAGATGGAGAAAAATATTTAGTTTCAATCAATTTTATTTTTTCAAAATGCGAATGTTTGAATGTGAAAATATCGCGAGAAGATTAATTAATCAACTAAAGACAACCTGGGTAAAAAAAAAATTTTAATCGGGATATTTTTTCCAAATTTTCAAAAAATTTCTGGAAAACTTTTCAGAAAATATATATTTTTTTTCAATTAAAAAAAATCGGGAAACAAAACAATTGTATTTTTGGGAAATGTTTTGAAAAATTTTTTAAATAATTTTCTAGCAACTTTTGCGAATACAATTTTTTCTTTTAATTATACTGTTGTTTTCTCCCTTTTTCCATTTTTTAATATTCTCAAAAAAAATGCCGATGTTTTCCGATTTTTTTTTGTTTTATAAAAAAAAATTCTGAAAAGTTTTCCCGAAATTTGGAAAATTTGGGAAAAATATTCCGATTACAATTTTTTTTTACCCGGGTAGTCCTGACCTGAAGAGCCCACCTAGTAATTGCCTACCCGCATCGCAGTAGTCCCTGAAAGAGTCCCATTGAATAATTACAATCCCCCCAAGTATTGATGCTGTACCATCAGATCCATTACCTCAACATGATTATGGTGATTAAAATTTTCCAAAATAACACGATCCCGATAAATCATAGCCGGGTTAATACACATCGAATACAAAATATTTGATCGCCGAGTAAATTCTTAGCGTAACATATAGTGTCTCTAATCGGATACACGATGAACCTGCTCCTAACTTAACCATGGTCTAATGCCTCGTTTCAGTTGAAGTCCAGTAACTCGTTTGCTCGTTTACTCGTTTACTCGTTTACTCGAGCGATACATCCACCTTTATCCCGGTAATGTCGTGCACGTTTAAAGCCAAAGGTAGCAAAATGGAATAGACCAAGAGAGACATAACCAGATAGCATCCAGTGAGTGAGAGATAGAGTGGATGAGTGACTGGAATTCTCCATCTTTCTTTGGGGGATGGAATTTTTAACGGATGAAGAAGAAACTGGGCAGCCGGCGTGAGATCGCCGCATTAACGACCGACGTTAGGAATAAGGACGAAGCTACAGTGAGTGGGATAAGATGAAAAGACCATAGCCATATGTGAAAACGAGAAAAGACGATAGGTGGTTGAAGGGTGGAGGAGGGATACTGAATCTTATGTCTTGCCTACATACTAGTTGCCATAATGTATACCGCGATATTAGCAGCCAAGGGTCTCCGTTATCCTAATTGCAACCAGCTACGAGAGTTATAGATCGAGCCAATCCAATCCACATTTTTTTTTATTCTCTCTCCTCTATTTTATTCTTCATATTTTTCTTATTCTTTTTGTTGTGTTTATTATACTTACCCACAGTCTGTACCTACTGTACTCCTGTTTTACTTCGGCTTCTCGTTTTATTATGGCAAATCGGTAAGCACAACATATTCGTACAACCGATGGGAAGAGTCATCGTGGGATACACCGGGGAAATATTAAAGCTACTGGCGATTGGCGTTACGCCATAGTGAGCACTATTTATTTGGTTTTATCAAGGCAGAATGAGGGCCATTTTTGAAAGGAACATTTTTTTAATATTATCTGGCGTCTCGTGAGTTTTTTAGTCTTACTTTTAGTGACGGGTAGGATGCGCGTGCGCGCTACGCGCATTCGATATATTTCGATGGATTCGAGATATTTCGAGATCGATATCCTCTTTCCTTTCGATTCTAGTATAGGTACACTCAAAAATTTTTTTGAGTTTTCTATGCGTCCTAGGGCAAAAATAATAAATCCCCCAAAACCAATATTTCTCCATTGAATGTACCCCACAAAATTGACACATCAAATTTTTTGAAAATTTTTTATTAATCCATTTTGGAAATCTTTTCAAAATCCTATTTTTCTCAAAAAATTTTGTCTCAATTTTGGGGTGCTGTGGGGTACATTAGAGTTATTTTTTGACGAGTTCGAATTATTTTCACCACTCAATAAAAATTCTAAACGTTTTAAAATGTGACTAGCTGTCGGATGCCAGTCATACTATTACTGACAGAGGGATACATATCTTCAATTTGATTTTCAATGAATGTCATGAGTCATTAGTGTATCGATGGTAGATAGCTTGTTCTCTCGTTATTATTGCGAGCAGTGCAAATGGAGCAAGGTTGTTGGACAAGTGGGGGTTGTCCATTTCAACGACATCCTGCTATTTAATGTATCCTTCTTATTCTATTTCACTTCACCCTTCCGCCATCATTTAAGTGTTTCGAAATTGACAAATGCATAATCAATATCATATAGCCTTTACTGAGAAAATTATTATATCTGTTTCAGGATGGAGACATTTCAGGAGGCGGGAATTCAGATGCTGAGAGAATTCAGAGCCCTATTACAGCATTCACCATTACCCCTTCCGGGTACCAGGTTACTTCAACTATTAGCGCTGAACATGTTTGCTATTGAGACAACTCAGCTGAAGGGTGAGTCTTATATCCATATTATTAACTCACCGCTTATCAAGTCGTTCCTGCGGAAATGACCTAGTTTTCGATTTTTTTTTTACTAAATCTTATCGTTCAATTTTCATTAAACTATTTCTATTCGGTTAATTCCGGAAAATCAATCAGTTAGAAAATAGTATATTTCGGAACAAGTGCGGAAAAGTCACTTTTCAGCACCTCGCGATCAGATGGACTCAATATCTTATTTTTTTTGGGTGGATTATTGTGAATACAGGGGGAAAATTTTTCGAGGAAGATAACATTAACTCGACCTCGATTAAGGGGATTCTGGGGCGGTCGGTTAGGGGGCGGATCATAAAATAACGCCTCAATGTAATGGTTGACCCTGACGAACCCACCGGTATTAGGCGCACCCATGACCCTCTCACCATTGAACCTTAACGTGAACCTTCATACCCCTTTCGTTATTCAAAGAAAATATCGGCAATTCTTGCCTTTGCGTGCACCTCTTATTTCATTATTATTATTCATCAGAATTAACCACTAATCTCGGAAACTCTAACAACTTCTGAATGCGCGTGTTCTCAATCTCTCGTTATTATTTTACAACACTGAATTACACATTGGAGACAACAAATTTCTGGTATCAAGTATATTTCTAATTACAGGAAAATTAACATGGCAATTATTGCAAAAAAAAATTGATTTTGAAAAAAATTATTGAATTTCCAATGCGAAAAATACAGAAATATAATTTTTAATTATTAAATGAAAATTCTTTGAATCATCAATTGATTAATATCTCTCGTGTATACAAACATTGGGATTTTTGTTGTTCTGATTTTTTTGAGGGGAATGCCCCAGGCCTCTTTAGCCAGAAAAGTTGTCGATCGGTTATCACGAAAGTGTTTATGATATCAATTACGGTGAGTGAGTCAGATCGTTGGTGAAACTACCATCTCTCCGCGGGGTATGAGGCAAGAAAACTATAAAGTAAGAATGGCGCCGCGACGCCTCGGCACCAGCCCTACAGCATTCCTCTCTCAATCGAGATCGTGGCTCAAGATACGATACCAAGTGCAATGTCCAATTTTTCCAACTCCCCGGAGAACACGTTAACACGCATGTCTTATTGATTACAAAATTTGTTTTCATTAAATCACTTTTCCCAAATTAAACGTACCACTTCGAGATAATGACGCGATTTCTCCATTAAATATTTCAAATTTTAAAAAAGCCCCCAATTTTTTTTCCAATAAATTACATGACGTGTCAAAAATCAATTCTCCCACGCCAACGGATGTGACGAAATTCTATCACCCCCACAATAAAAAAAAACTATTCCCCGTCCTCTCGTCGCCCCACCATTTACGATCCTGAAATAGAATTTCCCATTCAGCCATTACGCAATGAATCAACACAAACCGCAAAATTCACATTACCCTCTGCATCCTTATCAAGTGTGAAGTTGACGCCAAAACCGCTAAAACATCCATTACCGGAAGCATCAACTGTCACTTGACACTACCGGGACTTAATCGAAATTAGTAAATAACCCCGCGTCGTTAACCGTTGTTCTCAGTGATTTCAATTTTGCGGTCTAATCATCATAACCTCTACATAATTCATTGTAAAACCTCGAAATAGTTGCATTATGCATGAAATTGTTCCTTAAACCTTGAAATTCACCTGTAAATCCGAGAGACACCTGATCATCATCAATTAATAATTTAATAACGATTAAATGAACGTCAACCATTAATAGACAGATGCTATCAAATTTTTCAATCAAAGACTGCTATATAATGATTAGCGTATATCATTTTTCGATGAGGGCAGGGGGTAGCGGAGGAGGTGCATAAAAATAATAAATGGTGAATATGAAAAATATGATACGCGATATGATATAGATGATGAAGAGAACTGTAGAGATAGGCCTGGTGCAGATAAACCACTGTGAGAGTTGAGTACATGAAGGGTAATTCGTTTGGGTGAACTATGTAGCATCTCGGCGCCAGTATTCTGCAAGGGATACTAAGAAATCACTTGTAAGTCGCTCTGGAGAAGGTCGTTTACTTGTCTTCAGGGTGCCTACCCGGGTTTTATACCATACGTATTATATCCCTCTATAAGATATTTTTATAATACTTATACTTATGGTTACTCATATCTCGTGTCGGAATTAATTTGGCAATTAAGTCGCACGAAGAGGTGTCTTCAGCGTTATACCTAAGTTGGAGGTATCAAGGAGTCATAAAACCAGACTTCAATAAATCTGTCGCCGAAGATGAAACGATACAAGATCCCATATTTACTCCCTACTCTTGTTTTTCATCAATTTACGTATGTATCATCCTGGAAATTAACTTCATTTGGCAGTTTAATTAACGATTTTTGTCAAAAATCTCGGGTGACGACTGCCATTCGATTTTCAATCCAGAGATTTTCCCTTACATTTCCTTGCTCATGAAAGTAGAAACACACAGTAGAAAGTGAAGTTCGTCCGAGTCGAAATATCTCGAAATCCTCGAAACGCGTGGGGTTAGTTGCTCATTGGTCACCGCGAGCCGCCAAATTCAAAATCGGCGCACGGAGTGGGCAGTAGGTCTCATAACTGATAAAAACGTAATACTTTTATCGTGTGAATTCACATGATAGGATATCTCACGGTGTAAGTGATATAACATCAGTGTATAATATTTTCATCCGAAATAAGTAATATTAATTAAATTATTGGTAATTTCACGGGGCGGTTTATAACCCAGAGGGTATTTTAGTCTGCGCACAGTGATTTTCTCGTTTTTGATATTACTGAGAAGTGGGTGGAGGGGAACTGCTGAAGAGTGATGGGTTTATATGTGCAAGTCGGAAGGAGCAAAAAGTTGGAGGATATGGAGATGTAGATGACCCGAGATTAAAGACATTAGGAGCATTAGCTCGAGCGTTATGGCTTGGAAAAGAAAAGAAGATGAGTGTATGCTGAATATCCAGAATAAACTATAACGTGTCGATGCATGTTGTTAGGTATCGGTACGACTTGACAGCTTGAGTTATTCCATTATTAATCAATAATTGGGGCTAACGAGATTTCCAATTCAATAACACTTTAATTGACTCCATTGCAAAACGTGAAAAACGAATCAAGTACACTTTATACTCGATAAAAAATTATTTACCCGCATGGGCATGATCATCTCAACCCAAACATCAAAAATCCAACAGAACAACTCATTTGCAATGCATGCTCTCGTGATATTATGCATGACCAAAAATAAGTTACACCTTTAAAAATTAAAAAAAAAATACCTCCCAAGAATTTCCTTGTCCCCATCTTTTTACGAGAGACTCTAAAATTGGCCCTGCAGGTATGCAGTATGATGCTAACCATCTACCGTATGTTGGGGTATTTTTCATAAATAATAAAACTGTCGGGTGAAAGTTTGTCGCTGTCATCTTTCAATCGTTATGAATATCGGTGAAAAGTTTGAACGTTAAATACAGTGATACCTTTTATCGATTGGTTCAGTGACCTGCCGGGGTACTCAAGCTGGGTTGAATCCCAAACTGACGTATTAACGATCCCCAGGCCGTCGGGACGGGCCATCAACGCTCGATTAAATTAATAATCTTCGTCGCGAGTCCAATTATATTTCCCAGATTAACTTGACGTCGATCCAGATGGGGTGCTCATCTACCATTTACCACCGGTGCATTTCCCCGGCTTTAAATCCCTAATAACTACCGTCTAAAATCATTCACGAAATTATTTGAATTTTTATATTAGATATTAGATTATACAATATTCAATTAATTCAACTAATTAAGTTGCAAGTTTTAAGAGGATAAATGTAGATTTCCAATTTTCTTCTTTCCAGAAATGGGATATTCTCTGGAGAGAAGATTGAATGCCCTCACCAATAAAGAGATATGAGATAATCTTTATAAATAGATGATCCTTGGATGATTTTAGATGGCGGTTGGTTGATGTTGAGGGGATGGAGAGGGAATTTCCGATGGTCTTAGGGATAACGGTCTTTTGTAGACTTGGTTGGTATCATGGATAATTGGCCCCCGGAAGTTTTAACCCACCAGAAGGTGGTTGGCGTTGTTTTGCACTGGTGTTTCCTTACCAATTAACGTATTCGCATACTTGGCTGAGGATCGTTAGCCAGATAATTTTCGTAAGTCTCACCATACGTAACGGTGATCTACCCTTGGTGTATCAACACTTCAATTTTCACCTACACGCAAGGCCATAGGCCAGACGAGAAAAACCCAGTCGATTTTATTCATGTGTAATAATTTCAATGATAGTCGGTATGATTTCTACGGAGATATCCAACCCAATCCTCATCGGGTACATGACGTTTGATGTATTCGTTAGGTGTGTAATTACTTTGAGATTGTGTCGTTTTATTTGTTGCGGTGGGGGCACCTGCTACTGGAGGTGGATTAGATATATCGCTATCTCGTGGGAATATCCTCAGCTCGGATTCATCAACAATTCGTTACCGCCAAGGTCGGTGACATAAGATATTCGTTATTAACTATTTCAGCGGGTATCCATTTCCTCGTCGTGTGACACGTTCGTGTCCGGAGTTATTTATCAGGAGAAAAATATTCTGGACAAATTCTCAAAAAAAAAAAAAAATGGAATTATCTAGCTTTTTCTTCATTTTGAGGCGTGTAATCTCATTGTTTTCGTCATTACAGGAGCTGTTGTCATTTGATGACAGTCGTTACCCTGTCCGACGTGTAAATTTTTGAATTTATTTTTTATCTGTATTTTTGGGGAATTCTATCCCGGAGATTTTTGTTTGGGAAAATAATTCTTGGAGTCGAAATAATTATTGCAATGAAGAATTTTGAAAAAATCGACGTGAATGCTTTTGGACTTGAAATAAAAAACATCCGAACCAGATGTTTGAGAAAGATATCATTACCCTGGCATCTCGATCCCCGCGAATTTCATATTTTTTGTCATTACTCCCCTTCGCCCCTCCGAAGGGCGAATTCTC